TTATACAATTGTTCATGGAATCTAATATATATTTTTTTCCTTTTCGGGTGATAAATTATATAAAAAGTGACCAATTGTTTTTTCTTTCCGAGCACTTTCGGCTATACATTTAGCCATTTTCAAGGTTGAAATGTATTAACTGTTAACGAGAAATAGTTTGTTGTATGTATGTATTTATATAATGTTTTCATTTTTCAAAATACATTCAAGATATTGTGTCCATGTTCAGAGTTGATATTACTGAGTGTTTTTATTAATAAGGCTTCCATTATTTTTAACCTTTTTTTTGCATTTAGATGATCCTATTATATTTGTGATGCCAACAAGTATATTACGAATAGAGTCCGGTAGGTCTCCATGAATATTTAAATGAGACCTAATTGAGCTAGAAAGGTGTTGTGTAAGGCTTCGTATCAAATATGCTGTAGTATGGCCTATTTTATTATTTACGAATTTTGATTGATCAGGAATACAATTCCTTAATGGACAGTATGGTAATTAATATTGCCTCACGTGTGACGTTCCTCGAAAAATACTTCTTTATACTTAGAATGGTTTTTATCGGTGGAATCTTATATGTAGAGAGACAAATACATGTAACACCGGTTAGAATGTTTACACGGAGAAAAGCTGAAGAGCCATATTGTGTTTCTATCATCTTTAAGAGATTATATGACCACAATACAACACACTTTACTCATTCACCGAAGTCGACCTAGCCATAATTTCAGTTTATATTATTCAATTTTGATTAAAAGCGACAGTAATTTCTGAAGGCGAAATTTTATTGAAAATACACTAATTTCGGACACTTTCACAATAAATTTACGTTCATTTACCCACTATATAAGTTTTGTCATACTCATTTTATTATTCATTTAGCCACCATAAGATTTTTGTCATTTCTATTTTCTTATTAATTGAGCGACTAAAAATAATTTAGTTTAGTTTTGGTTAAAGACTACAAGCTTTAGAAAATTAGTGAGGATCGAACTTACTATTCGCTACGAATGGCCTGTAGAGCTTGCTAACCGTTACATCGCCTCGAGGTGCCTAAAGTGATTTTGCAAGCATAGATTAGATGTGGCACAATGCCAAATGTATTGGGCACCTAGTCAGAATCGAACTCACTACTCAGTCGTAATTGTTGTAGCGAGACAAGCTTTCTAACCATTACACCGCCTCGAGGTGCCCAAAGTGATTTTCCAAACACAGCTTAGATGTGGCACAAGGCCGAATGTATGGGACACTCAGTGAGAATCGAACTTGCTACTCAATCGTAATTGTTGTAGCGAGACAAGCTTTCTAACCATTACGCCTCTTCAAGGTGTCCAGATTTAGGAGATATAACAAAACCCAAAATTTTGTTTTCAATTACGAAGCACAGGAAATTGTGGAGAGCCATGACCTCCTACGTTTCGAAGGGATACAGTACATGAAGGAGAAGAATTGCACACTCATGTATATTGTAAGAAATCTGTTCAAAATCCCCAACATATTATTTGAAAACCAGGAACAGAACAAATTTGAAAAGTGTGTTTTTTTTCACTTTTCTTTTTATGTGCCGTGTCCTTTCAGCACGTAGGCGATCATGGCTCTCCACCTCCTTCTATCCCTTGTAGCTCTCAGTAAGTTTTATCCCTCTGCCAACTCCCCCAGACCACCTTCTGCCATCCACTTACTTAAGCCCTCCAGGTATGTCATGCGTTGCTTTCCCTTTATCCCTCTTTCCCTCTATTCGACCTGTGAGCATCAGATTATCCAAGCCCTCCTTTCTCATTACGTGTTCCAGTTCACTGGAAACTTTTAAACACAATCAATATATACGTGCATGTGTGATTATAAGCTACATTTCTCAGCATATGTTTTTAAGAGAAACGGAAAATACATGCGTTTTCGCATTATTCAAATTTCCAAGTGCTATACATCTTTGCGCTTCCATCGCTGCCTTACCTTCCCGCTTACATCCGACCGCCATCTTTTACTGCGACCAGGTTTCCCGCGCGCGCCAATAAAGATTAAAAGTAAATAAATAAACTTCCCCGCCCAATTCTCGTCGATTACTCTCGCTTGTTCTTCCATAACAACTTGCACAGGTCGTTCATGTTAGTTTATTTTTCTTTTTTTTTTCTTCATATTCTCCTTCAGCTTTAAAAGATTTTTTTTTTATTATTTTAATTTCGTTTTTGTCTTCTAAAATCAAATTTTCGTTCTTGGAAAATTTACTGCGTTCAGTTTGTCTACGTTTTAGCTTCTCATTTTTTTTTTTTTTTTTTTTTTTAGAAATATTTTTAATTTGTTTTTATCTATCTTTCCTCCTTTCAAATTTGGGTTCGCGTTGTGCTGTATTGTACTTCCTTTGGTTTTATGCATTCATTCGATTTTTGTAATTGAAGTCGTGAGGCTGTTTTGTTTACATTGGTTCTTTCTTTTTTTTAATAAAAAGAAAATTAAAAAAAATTAAATATACGAAAGAAGAAGAAGCGAAAGAGGAGAAAGAAGAGAGACGTTGTAATCAGACTGACGTTGGTTAGAGAAACAGAGAAAAAAGACTAGAACTTGTTAGAGTTTGTCTGAAAGAAAAGAAGAAAGAAAAAAAAAGAAAAAGACTATAACCTGTTAGAGGGTGTCTGAAGGAGAAGATGAAAGAAAAAAGAGATAAAAAGACTAGAACGTGTTAAAGGGTGTCTGGAGGAAAAGTAAAAAAGAAAAAGAGAGAGGAAGACTAGAACATGTCACAAGGTGTCTGGGGGAAAAGAAGAAAGAAAAAGAGAGAAAAAGGCTATAACCTGTTAGAGGGTGACTGAAGGAAAAGAAAAAAGGGAGAAAAAGACTATAACCTTTTAGAGGGTGTCTCAAGGAGAAGACGAAAAAAAAAAAAGAGAAAAAGACTAGAACATGTCACAAGGTGTCTGGGGGAAAAGAAGAAAGAAAAAAGAAAAAAGGCTAAAAAGAGGAGAAGGAAAAAAAAAAGGGAAAAAACTATAACCTGGTTCTCAAGGAGAAGACTGAAAAAAAAAAAAAAGAGAAAAAAGAAGAACATGTCACAAGGTGTCTGGGGGAAAAGGAAAGAAAAAGAGAAAAAAGGCTATAACCTTTTAGAGGGTGACTCAAGGAAAAGAAAAAAGGGAGAAAAAGACTATAACCTTTTAAAAAAAAAGACGAAAAAAAAAGAGAGAAAAAGAATAGAATGTGTTAGAGGGTGTATGGAGGAAAAGAAAAAAGAGAAAAGAGAAAGAAAGACTAGAACATATCACAAGATGTCTGAAGAAAAAGAATAAAGTAACAAGAGAGAAAAACACTAGAACGTGTTAGAGGGTGTTTGAAGGAAAAGAAGAAAGAAAAAGAAAAAGACGAGAACATGTTATAAGGTGTCTGAAGGAAAATAAGAAGAAAAAAGAGAGAGAAACACTAGGACGTGTTAAAAGGTGTCTAAAGAAAAAGAAGAATGAGAGAAAAAGACTAGAACAGGTTAAAGGGTGTCTGGAGGAAAAGAAAAAAGAAAACGAGAGAGAAAGACTAAAACGTGTTAGAGCTTGTCTGAAGGAAAGGAGAGAAGAAAAAAGAGAGAAAACATTAGAACCCGTTAGAGGGTGTCTGAAAGAAAAAGAAAGAAAAAAAAGAGAAAGACTAGAACGTGTTAGAGGGTGTCTGAAGGAAAAGAAAGAAAAAGAAAGAGAAAGACTAAAAGGCGTTAGAGGTGTCTGAAGGAAAAAAGAAAAAGAAAGAGAAAGACGAGAACGTGTTAGACGGTGTCTGAAGGAAAAGAAAGTAAAAGAAAGAGAAAGACTAGAACGTGTTAGAGGGTGTCTGAAGGAAAAGAGAAAAAAGAAAGAGAAAGACTAGAACGTGTTAGAGGTGTCTGAAGGAAAAGAAAGAAAAAGAAAGAGAAAGACTACAACGTGTTAGACAGTGTCTGAAGGAAAAGAAAGAAAAAGAAAGAGAAAGACTAGAACGCGTTAGAGGTGTCTGAAGGAAAAGAAGAAAAAGGAAGAGAAAGACTAGAACGTGTTATATGGTGTCTGAAGGAAAAGAAAGAAAAAGAAAGAGAAAGACTAGAACGCGTTAGAGGTGTCTAATGGAAAAGAAAGAAAAAGAAAGAGAAAGACTAGAAGAAGTTAGAGGGTGTCTGAAGTAAAAGAAAAAAAAAAAGAAAGAGAAAGACCAGAACGTGTTAGACAGTGTCTGAAGGAAAAGAAAGAAAAAGAATGAGAAAGACTAAAACGCGTTAGAGAAAGAAAAAGAAAGAGAAAGACTAGAACGCGTTAGAGGGTGTCTGAAGGAAAAGAAAGAAAAAGAAAGAGAAAGACTAGAAGAAGTTAGAGGGTGTCTGAAGTAAAAGAAAGAAAAAGAAAGAGAAAGACCAGAACGTGTTAGACAGTGTCTGAAGGAAAAGAAAGAAAAAGAATGAGAAAAACTAAAACGCGTTAGACCGTGTCTGAAAGAGAAGAAAGAAAAAAACTAAAACGTGTTAGAGGTGTCTGAAGGAAAAGAAAGAAAAAGAAGGAGAAAGACCATAACAAGTTAGACGGTGTCTGAAGGAAAAGAAAAAAAAAGAATGAGAAAGACTAGAACGCGCTAAAGGTGTCTGAAGAAAAAGAAAGAAAACGAAAGAGAAAGACTAGAACGCGTTAGTGGTGTCTGAAGGAAAAGAAAGAAAAAGAAAGAGAAAGACTAGAATGCGTTAGAGGTGTCTAATGGAAAAGAAAAAGAAAGAAAGACTAGAACGTTAGAAAAAGGAAAAAAAAAGAAAGAGAAAGACTGTGTTAGACGGTGTCTGAAGGAAAAGAAAGAAAAAGAAAGAGAAAGGCCAGAACGCGTTAGACTGTTTCTGAAGGAAAAGAAAGAAAAAGAAAGAGAAAGACTAGAACGTGTTAGATGGTGTCTGAAGGAAACGAAAGAAAAAGAAAGAGAAATACTAGAACGCGTTAGACTGTGTCTGAAGGAAAAGAAAGAAAAAGAAAGAGAAAGACTAGAACGTGTTAGATGGTGTCTGAAGGAAACGAAAGAAAAAGAAAGAGAAATACTAGAACGCGTTAGACTGTGTCTGAAGGAAAAGAAAGAAAAAGAAAGAGAAAGACTAGAACGCGTTAGAGGGTGTCTGAAGGAAAAAAAGAAAAAGAAAGAGAAAGCCCAGAACGTGTTAGACTGTTTCTGAAGGAAAAGAAAGAAAAAGAAAGAGAAAGACTAGAACGTGTTAGAAGGTGTCTGAAGGAAAAGAAAGAAAAAGAAAGAGAAAGACTAGAACGCGTTAGAAGGTGTCTGAAAGAAAAGAAATAAAGAATAAGAGAGAAAAAGACTAAAACGTGTTAGACGGTGTCTGAAGGAAAAGAAGAAATTATAAAGAGAAAAAACACTAGAACGTGTAAGAGGGTGTCTGAAGGAAAAGAAAAAGAGAGAAAAAGACTAGTACGTGTTGAAGGGTGTCTGAAGGAAAAGAAAAAAGAGGGAAAAACACTAGGACGTGTTAGAGGGTGCCTGAAGAAAAGGAGAGAAGAAAAAAAAAAAAAAAAAGGCTAGAATGTGTTGGAGGGTGTTTGAAAGAAAAGATGAAAGAAAAAGAGAGTGAAGGACTGGAACGCGTTAGAGGGTGTCTGAAGGAAAAGAAAGAAAAAGAAAGAGAAAGACTTGAACGTGTTAGACGGTGTCTGAGGGAAAAAAAAGAAAAAGAAAGAGAAAGACTAGAACGCATTAGAGGGTGTCTGAAGGAAAAGAAAGAAAAAGAAAGAGAAAGACTAGAACGCGTTAAAGGGTGTCTGAAGGAAAAGAAAGAAAAAGAAAGAGAAAGACTAGAACATGTTAGACGGTGTCTGAAGGGAAAAAAAGAAAAAGAAAAAGAAAGACTAGAACGTGTTATAAGGTGTCTGAAGGAAAAGAAAGAAAAAGAAAGAGAAAGACTAGACCGCGTTAGAGGGTGTCTGAAAGAAAAGAAATAAAGAATAAAAGAGAAAAAGACTAAAACGTGTTAGACGGTGTCTGAAGGAAAAGAAGAAAGAATAAAGAGAGAAAAACACTAGAACGTGTAAGAGGGTGTCTGAAGGAAAAGAAAAAAAGAGAGAGAAAAACTAGAATGTGTTGAAGGGTGTCTGAAGGAAAAGAAGAAGAAAAAAGAGAGAAAAACACTAGGACGTGTTAGAGGGTGCCTGATGGAAAGGAGAGAAGAAAAAGAGAGAAAAAGACTAGAATGTGTTGGAGGGTGTCTGAAAGAAAAGATGAAAGAAAAAGAGAGAGAAGAACTGGAACGTGTTAGTAGGTGTCTGTGGAAAAATAAGAAAGAATAAAAGAGAAAAAGACTAGAAGGAGTTAGAGGGTGTGTGAAGGGAAAGGAAGAAACTGAGAAACAGACTAGAAATTGTTAGAGGGTTTCTGAAGGAAGAGAAGAAAGAAAGAGAGAGAGAAATACCGGAACGTGTTAGTGGGTTCCTGAAGGAAAAGAAGAGAGAAAAAGACTAGAACCTTTTAGTGTGTGTCCGAATGAAAAAATTAAAGAAAAAGAGAGAAATATCAAAAATATTACAAAAGCTAGAAAAGCCAACGAATATTCAGGGAAACAGACAAGTGAAGATCCTGAAATAAAAATATGCGGGAAACAAGGTTGAATAGAAAAGTTAAAAAAGGAAAAAAATAAAAGATGGGGTGAAAAAATGTTTGAGAAAATTAAACAGAGTATAATGGAGAAGCAGAATGAATTAGGAAAAAAATAACACTGGAGTAAAAAGATGGCGAACAACAAATAAATTTTGGAGGTGACTATGTAGAAATTGATGAAACGTGACACTTCTTTTAGTGACGTCGAGTAATTAGTTTGATGATACTAATAAAGATGAAGATAATGGTGATGGTGGCTGTAAAATAGGGAAAAAAAGACATGAAGAGAAAACGATGGTTAGAAATGATAGGAAAATAGGAATATTCTTTTGGGAAATGAGGTCCGTGAGACTTTTACTGAATCCCAGAAGGGAAAATGAAAGTATTATTATTTTGAGGAAGACGAGAAGAAATAGGGAAAGAAAGAAAGAAAGTCACAGAAGTAATCAAGACTGTAAGAACGATTTTAAAGAATGAGAAAGATTTCAAAAGAAAAAAAATCTGAAAGAAAAATCATTTCAGAATAAATAAAGAAAGAAAATTTTTTAAAGATTTCCAAATAAAGAAAAGTGATGAATAAAAACAAAAAAGGAAAGAGTAAATGAAAGTATAAGGTGGAAATAAAGAAGGTACTAGAAAGAAAGAATCAAACAAACAAAGAAAAAGATCTCAAAAGAAAAAAAGCGACAAACGAAATGAAAGTAAAAAGAAAGTAAAAAAGAAGAAAAAAATGAATGAATATAAGTATAAGACAGAAAGGAAAAAAGAAACGAAGAAAGTATAAGACAGAAAGAAAGTACAAGAAAGAAAAAAAAAAAAAAAAAAAAAGTGACTAACAAAAAGAAAAAAAAACAAGGAAGGAACAAGAAGGAAGGAATGCAAGGATAAAGCAAAAAGAAAGAAAGAAAGAAAGAGGGATAGTAGAAGAAAGAAAGAAAGAAAGAGGGATAGTAGAAGAAAGAAAGAAAGAAAGAAAAGAAAGAAAGAAAGAGGGATAGTAAAAGAAAGAAAGAAAGAAAGAGGGATAGTAGAAGAAAAAAAAAAAGAAAGAAAGAAAGAAAGAAGAAAGAAAGTAAAAAAAAAAAAAAAAAAAAAAGAAAAGAGGATAGTAAAAAAAAGAAAGAAAAAGAAAGAAAGAAAAAGAAAGAAAGAAAAGAAAAAAAAAAAAAAAAGGGATAGTAAAAAAAAAAAAAAGAGGATAGTAAAAAGAAAAAGAAAGAAAGAAAAAGCAAAAAAAGAAAAGACGGAAAGTAAAAAAGAAAAGAAAGAAAGAAAAAGAAAGAAAGAAAGGAAAAGAAAGAAAGGAAAAGAAAGAAAGAAAAAGAAAGAAAGGAAAAAGATGGATAGTAAAAGAGAGAAGGAAAGAAAGAGGGAAAGTAAAAGAAAGAAAGTAAAAAAGAAAGAAAAAATGATAGATGGAAATAAAGAACGTATGAACGATTTAAAGAAGGACAAAGTCGGATTTCTAAACAGAGAAATCAGAGAAAGAAAAAGGAAAAAGAACCAAAAAAGAAAGAAAGAATTCATAAAAAAAAAACAGACGAAAGAAAAAGAAAGTTAACATTCCATGAAATATATTTAAAAAAAAAAAAAAAAAAAAAAAAAGGCAAACAATTTTTCATTTTCATTGTTTTTTTTCAACTCACAAGGGAGGAAAAACGTAGGATTTCAATCAGCGATCGATGATGTGAAATACAATTCGACATTTTCTCTGCGATTGACCCAAATTCAAATCTCGCCCAGCGTTGCTTCATTTATTTTCGCATTTTCCTGCAACGAACATTCACCCACTCCTTCATTTCATTTGAAAACCTTTCTAATTGCAACACTGTTCGTCAAAAACAATATATGACCTCTTTATTGACTGAACTTGATTCAGCCTCAACTGGTATCTGGCACTTAGTCTTTCTAAACAGTCACCCATTTAAGTACCAATCAACCACACCATAGACTGGCACAAGGCCACGACTTATTTTAAATATTTCATGATCCTGAATGGTGACCAAAGCATAAAACAGATTATTTTATCAATTTTCATTAGTTCGGTCCATGGCCTCAAGTTTCTGTGGTTTTTTAAGTGGTTACTCATGATAAGTTTCAAGCATAGCTTAGATGTGGCACATGGCCGAAAGCATGGCGCACCCAGTGAGGATCGAACTCACTATTCAGTTGTAAATGATGTATCGAGACAAGCTAGCTAACCATTATACCACGTCTAGGTGTTTATATATATATATCTATATATATATATATATATATATATATATATATATATATATATATATATATATATATATATATATATATATATATATATATATATATATATATATATATATATATTTTGTATTTAGGCAACAATCCTTCATTTATGCATGTTTCATAAAAATTGAATAATTAAAAAATGTCATACTTTTTTGACATAATTACAAGTCATGTTTTTTTTTCAAATGACCAAAATTTCCTTGTAAACAAAAAAAAGATGCAACTATAATAAAAAAAGTATTTTCATTGTCTTTATTACATGAACCATATTTTGAATAAACACTTTTCAGTATTCTCAAGACATGAAAAATTAATTTTAATTCTTGAACTATAAATGATACATAATCTTTCTACATATCAAGTGGGGATTTTCTCCCTTTTTTCTTTTCCTTCAGACACCGGCTAATTTGTTCTCGTCTGTTTCTATCTTTCTTCTTTCTCTTTTTTTTCAGCCACCCTCTAGCACGTTCTAGTATTTTCTTTTTTTTTCTAAGTCAGATCTGTTGTAATTTCTGAGAGGATTTTGGAAATTTTCTAAAAAATATTTCAAAAAATTGTTGTTACTTTCAATTTAAATCATATTTTATCTTATTCCACTTTCTCCCCTATCTCTCCCTTTCTCTCTCCTCCTCCCTCCCTCCCTCTCTCTCTCTCTCTCTCTCTCTATCCCTATATATATATATATATATATATATATATATACACAGCACAGGGTATATTAAAAAATATTTTCACTAACCTTGGGGACGGGTTCCTTACACCAAACAAGGAAAAAATTCAATATAAACATATGTCCGCAAATCCTTCATTTTTGAATTAGATTCAAAGATAATTTACAGTAGATGACGCGGTGTTGCTATGTAGACTATGTTACATTTGTCATTCGTGTACATTTGTGGATTGTCTGTCTTCAACGTTGAACACATGTAGTAGTGAATAGCTGAGACGTGTTCTGTTAATAAATTCCATGATGTTCATACTGCGATCAGGTAGATAAGATTTTTACGAATGATAATGGACTCGAGGCTGCACGGCTGTATCAGATTTCGTTTTCACTCCGAAGGCAGCCAAGTCATCCAACATTTTCTGCTGTTTATCGTCGCATTGCTGAAGCAGGATCCGTGGCACCAGGAACTATGGATCGAGGAAGACCGAGATCTGCTTTTACGCCTGACCACGAACAACACGTCCTACAGGCTGTCAGTGACGATCCGGGTATCAGCATACGTCACACGGCCCTCAACCAACGAACCAACTAACTGCATTTGACAAAAGATAGAGTGTCACTTATATATATATATATATATATATATATATATATATATATATATATATATATATATATATATATATATATATAAAAGAAAGGAAAAGAAAAAAAAATGATGAAAAAGAGAGAAATACTAAAAATGCTATAAAATTAGAAAAACCAACGAGTCTTCAGAAAAACAGACAAGATGGCTGAATCAGAAAAGTGCGAGGAATATGGTTGACGAGAAAAGGGAAAAAAAAGAAAAAATTAAAGATGTGGTGAAAGAGTTTGAGATAATTACACAGAGCATAATGGAAAACAAGTAACTGGATTTGACAAACGAGGGAAATAAAATGTGTCAGCTTATATATATATATATATATATATATATATATATATATATATCGTCGCAGGCTGTTGACAGCCAAACAACCTGGTGATATTTTTAGCTTTTATATTGAGCTCTCTTTTATATTGAATGTTACGAACGTCGGAATTGAATTCTGTTCGTTTTATATATATATATATATATATATATATATATATATATATAAGGGGGGAGGGAGAAGAAAGGGATTCATACCTTTCCTCAGGGTATTATCACGTAAGTGAATGTACGCACTCGACTGGAATATATGGGTAAATAGCAGGACAGACTGGGTTCTATAGCCATGGATGGCAACTGCACTAGGAGAAGGACAACTCTGAATTCAAAACCTGTGGAGGGTCATATGGGGACCTTGTGGTACATAGTGCATCAAGTCTCTTTATTCAGCCCTTCAAAATGTGTGGTTGGTTCTACACAAAATCTTCAACACTATATATGTATACTATATATTGAGCTCGCTTTATGGATTTATTTTTTAATATTTTATATTAAAATGACCTACTTGGATTATCCTTTCTACTTACTGTTTGGTATATATATATATATATATATATATATATATATATATATGTGTATCCATGTATACAGATTGTTTCCACAGACAGATTGTTCCGCAGCTCATCATCAATGGCTTGACGTCCGGTTGCCTCTAGCTAGGATCGAAACCCGAATGAATTGGCGTCAGTTGGGGATTTTACCAATAAACCTTTGGTGCACGGCAGGGATGAAGGTGAATTTAAGCGTACCAGTCTCTTCGGAGGCGTGGGTTTGTATCCCATCTCTTTTAGGATTAACACAATATAATATATATATATATATATATATAGAGAGAGAGAGAGAGAGAGATAGAGAGATAGATAGATATATGAGTGTGTGTATGTAGAAAAACAACAAGAAAGACTAAAGACATAAGGCATAAGGCATAAGGTATAAAGGAGCAACAGTAAAATATTATCAAATTTCGGAAGAAACATGCAAAATATATTTAGAACTAATAATTAGCAATGCAACACGAAAAGACAAAAAAGACCATTAAAAATGAACCAAAATTAACGAAGAAATTTCATCGATTTTTAACTAAACATCGTGACACGCATCTAGTGCTGTTCCTACTCCTTGAACGAAGCAGTCGTTTATTGGTAGAATAACAGTAAATTCTTCGAGACTTATATTCTTTTGCTTTCTTTGAGGTAGATTTCTGTCCAAGACCAAGTGGTCTGCGATCTAATTTACGAATAAAATTTCAGATTATACCGAAAAAAATGTAAAGTTCTGGCATTAAAATAAATTGATTAAATTTTATTTTTACTCAATAAGAGTCAATTATTAACAATGGAAGCAGTAAATAGAAATTATCGCTGGTAAAAAAAAAAAAAATAGACACGGCTACGCAGAGGACACCTGAAACAAGAAACATAATGTTTTATTATTTAGTCCAGAATAAATTTACCAGGACACATCCTATCGAAGCAAATATAGAAAAATATCAGAAAAATGTAAATGTTGCGTTTTGTAGCAAAAGAAAGAGACAGTAAAAAATTTCAATAATAAATTTTGGATAAAAAAACGAAAAACGAAATAAGGGAAAAAGAAGGAAAATGTTTAAACTTCGATCCAGTGAATTAAATGTTATGAGTTACTAAGCAAAGCAACTTTCTGTATATAAAATCCTTCAAATCTACAAATTAACCATTCGCCCTTGCATGGAGTATTGCTGCCATATATGGTCTGGAGCCCCTTCTAATTGTCTCAAGGTCCTTGATAAAATCCAGAGACGTATATGCAATGTAATTCGCCCTGACCTGACATCTCGTCTGCAGCCGCTCTTTCACAGACGTGCCGTTGCCTCCCTCTGTCTTTTTGACAAATACTTTCATGGTAACTGCTCAGATGAGCTGCTTTTCGCTGGTTCCCAGACTTCATGAATTTAAGCGTTCTACTAGGCTGGTATCTCGTTCTCACCCTTTCACTGTCAAAACTGTTGAATGTAGCCGTCTCTTCTACTCTAATAGCTTCATGTCTCGCACTTCTCGCCTGTGGAACTCCCTTCCCATTTCCTGTTTCCCTGATAGCTATAATCTCCAACTATTCAAATGTAATGTCAATCGACGTCTCCAGATGCCCTGATCTATCCCCTATCCTTCTCTTCATCCTTTCATCTATCACTCCTATTTGCTCTAGCTCCAAACTCTCTGGAACCCCTTGCGTGCTAGTGGCTTCCCGATTTGCTTGGGGTTGAATGCTTAAAAAAAAATTATTACCGAAAGAGAAAGACATACATTTGATTTATAGATGCGATCACATCTTACCGTGTATAAAAATATCTTAGAATTTGTAGAAACCATTCCTCTTCAAAACACCTAAAAAAACATACTTTGGATATATGCGTGATACTTTTATTTATTTCATTGCAAAACAATATTATCTAAAACTGTAAATAAAATAAACATTATACAATCGAATTGACTTATCAAAGCAAACACTGGAAACGTGCGATGGATAAATTGTCGCCTAAATTAAAAAAATCAACAAAAAAAAAAACAATAATCCTCACTAGGTAGGTTATGCGTTGTTTTCCTCTGTCCATCTTGCCTACGATCTGTTTTCTGAGTATCAAATTTT